GTTAATGGAGTAAGCACTCTGAATAATTTTGTTTGAAGATCTGACGTCGCTTATGTGGCAAGCCAGAGCACTAAAACCCACACAAGCACTTAGACTGAGCTTGCATTAAGAGTTCCATAAGCTCACAGGCGCACTAAAAATAGTGATGGGGGATCTAAGGATGCATCAAGTGTCAGATGCTGTTGACACCCAAATGCTTTCAAGCCAAAGCAACAAATGCCGTGTCCATCTCATCTCTTACAGATACCAAGGACTGCCAAATCCAAATTCCTCAAATACCTTGATCTTCGTAGAAAAAGTTGATCCTTCCTCCAGATTCACATGAGGAGGTTCTCACCTGACATTAATGGCTCTGTTCTACTTTTACCATCTTGCTTCTCCCTTTCCCAGGAAGCAAGGAGTGCCCTACAATAAGGATAATGGGGTGAACATGGCCACCCCTTTGGGCTCATTTTACCCCACTGGGTCCCCCAAATCCCCCCTGAGTTTTCAGCGTGGCTAGCTCCCATCATGGGGGTCCAGAGGCTGGTTAAGCACTGAGTTTCCCAGAAGGAAGAGCATTTCTCTTGTGCACAGGAGCCCCAGACAGAGCAAGGTGGCCCAGGGGGAGAAAGACCATGCAACCTTATGCAGTGGTGGAGGCCTGGTAGGTGATCGGAGTGTCTGTCCTCACTGATGGGCAGAAGGGAGTTGAATGGAGGATGGAGAAGTGATGGCTGGTGACCCTCCAGGGACTGACTTCATCACATCTCCAAGCAGCCAGTTCCAGTGTATTACCACTATTTAGGAGAAGTGTTTCCTAATATACAACCCCCCCAAACCTTCCCTGACACAGCTTGGGGCTATTACCTCTCATCCTATCACATTTACCTGGGAGAAGAGGTGACAGTGCACATCTCTTCTGAGAGGCAGTCTGTGCCCATTCCAGAAGTGAGCAGTGGCTCCCTGAAGTGTTGAGGGAATACAGCCAAAGACAGCAGCTGTAGCCTGGCAGGCACAGGGTTTAGGAGGTAAGAAATGGATTGAATTTTGCTTTCCTGCATCACATCAGCTTTCCCATGTCCCTGAACACACACAAATTTATGTGACTCCTGAGGAGGGCTGTGCTTGCTGGCAGAGATGCTCTGGGCAGACAACTACCCTCAGATCCTTTGCTGCTGTTTAAAACAAGCATCTGGCATGACTACCCATGTCAGGAGACAAAAATCAAACTGCTCATCAATATTCTGCTAACAACATATCTCCATTTTCCTTCTGCAGCAGAGAGAATATGAAAAGGACAAAACCCTGTTCTGGTTTTCTCTCTCTTACTCCTCCTCCTTGTTGCAAGGGATACCTAGTCCAGTCATGACAGACTCTACTCTTCTCTCCATTCCTGTTACCTCACGCAGTTCCACATGCAATCAAATCCTGCAGCTTTTTTTTTTTTTTTAAATATATCTTTTAGAAATATTTTAGCTCTCACTGCTTCCCCCTCCGAAGCTGAGAGTCCAGATCCTCTTATTATCTGTGACAAAGCACTTTTGGAAAAAATTCCTGAACACTTCTGACTCTTCCTGGCATTTTTTTCTGCACCATCTCTCACCTGATACCACTCCTCAGGACAGGAAATGTCCCCAGGTCCTCCAAGCAGTGCTGGCAGTCTAGTTCTCACCTAGGTACAGAGAAACTGCATGATGCTGTTTGATACGCATCACAGCTGGGTAGGCTGCCAGGAGAGATGGGGGAGGGGGAAGTGCAGCTGTGGGAGACACTGATTAGCAGAGTGGTGGTCTGCTGTGACACTGATGGTGATGGGATCAAATATGTGGAAGGATTTAATGAAAGCTCTTGCTTAGTCCATGGGCATCTTTTCCTGCAATAAGCTACTTCTTCAATTGGGATCTGAAGGCTATGTAAAGCCATGGTTTCTCCAAGGCCATGAGGTATAAGGCACTTTTGTGGTATTTGCAATGAGAGCTTCAAGTCTCAATGTCTCCATCCATGTTATTCTTAAAAAAAATAAATAAATAAATAAAAAAATCAGAAGAGACAAATTTACAGGTATATGTTACTGCATTTCTTCCTCCAGCCCATCCTGCATCTGAAGACTATTCAAACTGCTCTAGTCAAGGGAGAACACTGTGCAAGCTAGAATGACTCGAAGACACAGGACCAGGGGATTATCTCTAGAGTCTGTGCATGATGATCCACCTGCCTTCCAAGTGGCTAGCTCAAGAATAAAGGGTCCAGAAACATTATGGAGAAAGCAGAGAGCTGGAGACAATCCCGCAAAAAAATCCCGCAGATACACCTTCTTACCCTATCCCAGCTTACTGCACATCTTGTGTGCAATGGGAGTTTCAGTGAAGTGCAGATAAAACCAAGTCATTAGGAAGTGGTTAGGTATTACATGGCTTTTTGCTAGATTTCACAAGATATGGCCTAACAGCTTCGTTACATGTGACTAAATATGACACTTAGCGGCACAGACCAAAGCTCAATCATCTTGCTGCTTTTTTTTTTTTTCCTAATTGTACCCTGTAGGTAACCCTCACCTTCTGTTTGTCTGTCTCTCTGTAAGCACTGTATGATGCAGTACATCTCTTCTGCTACTTTGCCACACATACCTTGTCCACACTGATACACCATCCTATGTGTTCCCAACTCCGTACATCAGAGAAATCTGATTTCCAGGATGAAAGTGAACGTAGTCAGCATTGGTATTTTTTTGAACTTCTCTAAGGATATCCGTTTAGATAAATGCAATTTATTTTCAATTCATTGAACCCTGTAAGACCATGAATATCTTCATATACAGTGGAAACATCCTTTTCCACATTGACTCCATTTTTTCAGTTCTCAGTTTTGTTTCTAAGTTGTTTATTACTGGTATAGGTGTTGTATTGTTGTTCATTTTTGGTGTGGATTTTTAGAACCAACAAATCTTTTATTATAAAGATAACCAACAACAACAAAACCAACAACCAAGCAGAACTGCAAGACTTGATGCAAACATTTTCAGCATCAGAAATGCTGGAAACTCCAAAACGTTGAAGTAGACCTCAGTAGAAAATAATCTTAAATATGCTACTGAGGATTGTAGTGAGCTTTATAGATTAGTTTTTCAAGGTTTTTTTTCTCCCCAACTGGCTGAAGAAGGTTACTAGTGAGACAGAAAGCAATCTTACATGTACATGCCTAGCTAACACTTGGCAAACACTGCAGTGACAAAGTACATGAGCTCTCAAGGGCTCATCTCAAGCCTTCAAAGCTACTAACAACTTGTATCTATAACTTCTTAACACCAGGGCTCCCATCTTCCTATCCAGTATGTCTGAGACACACAGCTTTTCCACAGCCTAGCTTGTGATTTAACATATATTAGATCTAATGTACCTGAAGAGTAGGGCTGAGGCTCCTCAGAAATGTCAGACCGGGATGATTGGGCTGCCTGTGTACCGTGCCTGCTTGCTCCATGGCATTCAGCTTCCTGAGCACAGTATTGCAATACCCGCTTCTCCCTGCAGCTCCAACTTAGATGTCCTGCATCAAAAGGTCAGTTTGTGCACCATGGCACTGAAGTTCAGAGAGGATGCCAGTCTTGATTAGGGAAAATAAGGGAGAAGAACTCACTGTATGGGTACATTTCAGTAAAAACAACAAATTCACAGAATCATAGAATCATTGAAGTTAGAAAAGACCAATAAGATCACTTAGTCCAACTACCAACCCACCACTCACGCCGACTAACCACATCCCTTAGTGCCACATCCACGCAGTTCAAGAACACCTTCATCACTTCCCTGGGCAGCCTATGCCACTGCATCACTGCACTTTTTGAGAAGTATTTCCTAATATTCAACCCAAACCTCCCCTGGCACAACCAGAGTCCATTCTCTCTCATCCTATCACAGAATCACAGAATTGTAGTGGTTGGAAGGGACCTCCAGAGATCATCGAGTCCAACCCCCCTATCGCTGTTACTAACCTGAGGAGTGAGTGACATAGCTCACAAGTCTCTAGCTCTCCAGCACCAGAGAGATGAATAGCATGACAAAGTGGAATTTGAATGGATGGGGTGTGCATGAGAGCAAAGGAGAGCAAGAAAACCTTGTTTTCTGCAAGGCACTGGCAGGAAGAGCGTTGAGTAGCAGAATAAAGTGATCAACTCATTGCCTGCTCACTGCTTTTCTGTGAAAATAGCGTTTACTCATGTTTTCTAAGCAAACTAGACCACAGCAAATAAAGAACTGAATAGATAAGTCTATGAGTTTTATCCTCTTAACAGAAAGATTCAAAATTCCTCCAATAAAATCTAGTTAGCTTAGGATAAAATGAGGCTGCACAGTGATTTACACCTTACTCTTTTGCTTATTTTTGACTCAACGTTTTTTCATCTTCATACATGTTGAAGTTTGATTTTTTTATCTCTTTCCTGTTGTTTTGACTAAGTTTGAGATGCAAAATCCACATGGAGAAAGATTGGTAATCTTTGCTGTTCCTCAGTATGATTTTCAAGAGCATAGTGCTGTTATGTTTACTTTTCATCAGAAAAAGTGATTGGTCTTTGATAATGAAAGCTTAAAACCTGGCTAAGGATCAAGCTGCTCATGAAGGCCACTTTGAGGAGACATCTGATAGTGAGGAACTGGCAAAGAGAAAACAGGGATTCAACTTGAACAAGCAAAAATAGGAAGCAGAACCACAAAGTTGGAAAAATAGTCTACACAGGAAGAGAAATGGGAAGAAAAGAGTAACAGAAGAAAAGGAATGCATGGTAGAATGGAAGACAGTAAGAGAGTGATTTGGGAACTGAAAGCACTTTGGAGATTAAAAGGTATGCATTATGTACCCTGCTGGGGAAGGGACAAGATGTATGCAAAGCACTGAGTGACAACAAGGAAAGGGAAGTCACTATGCTCAATGCTGTCATTCAGATCCTAAAAAATTTATTTTGATTCTCAGCAGTGAAAGAGATCTTCAGTGGTATTTGGAATTGCTTAGCATGTATGTCCCCAGCATGACATACAGCAAAGTGCATCACATTCTCAGTTCAGCTACCCAGAACAAGAGTCCAAGGTTCCCTAAAGGGGAATTCAGACTGTGCTGGTTTTTCCAGGCTCATCCATTGCCTTTCATCTTATTAAGTTGTGTGTTCAGTTACAATCTTGATTTTTGATGAATATTCCTGTAACACTCTACATCTGGTCAATGAGTAAAAGAAAATAGACCTCATGGCAAATCAACTTTCTGGACATTATGTAGTCTCCCTAAAAATGCCAGTGTTATCAAAGCAGTTACAGCAACAAAAGGAAAACAACAAACAAACAACAAAAATGCATAGTTTCTACATTTTAAAAGGGTATTTGTTATGTTTATAATTGCACAAGAACAACATTTTTATTAGATGTTGGGGAAAGCATTTTACTGCGACACTGGTGAAGTGCTGAAACAGGCTGCCCAGAGAGGTTGTGGATGCCCCATCCCTGGAGGTGTTTAAGGTCAGGTTGGATGGGGCCCTGGGCAGCCTGGTCTAGTACTTGATCTAAGAGCTGGCAATGCTGTCTGTGGCTGGGAGGTGGAACTTTGTGATCCTTGAGGACCATTCCAACCCAAACTGTTCTGTGTTTCTGTGATTCTATGATTTTAAGATCCTGGGCTGGTAAGAAAAGTCCAGAGAGATATGAAAGACCAAGGCTTACTCCAGTTTTGTTTCTCTGCACCATGACTTCACACATTTAAGGAGAGCAACTTAATACTTTGGCTCCTACTTTTGTCATGGTCAAGTTGTACACTGGATGCAAGATTAGTATTCACACTTGGGCAGTGTTTCCAAAGGCTCATTTTAAAGCTGAAATCCTCCTTTTCCTGACAGACCAGTCTCTAATCAAGTCTGAAAACAGGGAAGAGTTTCTGCAATATGTGTCTAGCTTCTCAGATGCTGTTGTAGAAAATATCTAAAAGTAAGATTTAAAAGTTCAAGGGCAGAAAAATCAAGAAAGACTGACAACCACTTCAAAAGATGCACTTACCTACTGTGGCTTGGTCCTAAAGTAGAAATATTTTATTTCTAGCCTTCTTTCTCATGGGTTCTCTATTTTCACATTTATAACTGTAAAACAACTTGTGAACAAGTTAAGAAGGTCTCAGTTTTGATCGTGATGAGTATTCCCCATCCAATACAAAGCATGTTAAGCAGATAATTGACCTGGTTTGCTACTTTTATCACAGCATCTCTGCCTTTCTTTCATAATGCTGTACAGCAATATAACTTGATTGGTCTTCACTGGAAAAGTACTTCATGACTGAGACTTACCCTGTGTAATGTTTAATATTCAGTTGATTTGTAAGCCCTTCCTTCGCACCCTAAGTGATGTCAATCTTGACCTATTTATTTTCCATTTCCACCCCAGTGTTTTCTCTCAGTAATCTCCACCTTAAAATTCACTTTCTCAGTGATTTCAGAATAATTTATTTTGTCTTCCTTCACATTCTTCTGTATGATGCTTTGCTTTTATGTGGTTTCTCAAAGCACATACCACATAAACCAACACTGTACTATAGTTGCTGTTTCACTTGTTTGCTTTCTGATGCACAGCTTCAGTTTTTCTGTATCTTTCTATGACTTTCCAGCTGTCCTTCATCCAACTAGCCCTCACACCAACCCCTGGCAGCCAACAGAGTGCTGGCCCCTGGACAACAGTTGCAGTTTTTTCATTATAATTTGTACTGTAATGACAGGAAATGTGCAAATTCCACAGTCAATTGGAAACAATGTATTAATTGTCAGTCTCCAAAACAAGTACTTTCCTAAAGCCATACTTCTTGATCACACATGAAACAATAAGTAGTAATCAATCTGTTTTAAATACGTACGGAATACTACATCTACATAACAAAACAGTTTGTTATCTTCACTATTGTTACTTCCCGCAACATAGAAGTTAATTCCAAGCAACACGATATCTGCTGTTAGTGAAGACAACAGTTCTTTTCTACCCACACTGACTAAATATGATTTCCCTGCTGGCGAGCAAGGCTATGCAATTTTTTTTTTTTAGTACTTTGTTACTCTTCAGATAAAATACTATGGTAGTCCTAGCTACAACGCTATGAAAGTAGTAATTAACCATGTCTTTTTGTGTAGTTGAACAACATTTGTCAATCTGGATGCTGAAGTCTTGAAACTTACAAGCTGATGTAAAACAAGATCACTTCTGCTTTTGAGACAGAAAGATAAGCTTAGGTGAATTGAGCTGTGGAACTCAGTATTTTGTCTCCTGGCTGATTAAAAAAGCAATATTGTATTTGGTTCAGTTTTACTGAAGTAGAAATGGATGCACACTCTTCACACCAATTTTTTCTTATCAAACCTGTCTATTTACTCCCTGACTGTTCCACACACTGAGAATTGAAGTTTTCAAATTGAAATTTAGAAGTGGATGTATATTCTTCTTCTTCTCTTCATTAGGGAGACATGCGAGTACTAAAACCAATAACCTTTTCTACTAACAAAAAAGTAATGCCAGCACTGTGCACTTTACAAATACATAGCAAGACTGGGACAGGAGGAGCTCCAAAAGCTATCAGAAGGGGCAGAGTGAAACTTGGAGAGATTAGGAGAAATGTGAATTCCAACTATGTATTACATGTGGTGTCTGAAAGGTCAAAATACAGCAAAACGCTGTGCTATGAAAGACAGCCATACAGCGATCATTGCCATACAGTGATCATTGCAGGCATGATTAATGAAGCAGAGAAAGCACTTCAAAAATGTAGCTTGAAGGAAAGCAAGACTGGGTAACATCACTATTTTTTTAGAAAATAATAGAGATATGCTTATGTGTAATCAATGAATATAAAGATGCTATAATTATGAAATAAACAAGAGAGTTTGGCAAAGCAGATCACAACAACAAAAAGAGGATAGATAGAATGCCTACTTACAGCCTGAGCTCACTGCAAAACTCTAGAGGAGGGATCCCCAGAAGAGATCCTTCCCTACTGGTAGCCAGCTCTTAAATAGGTCTAGGAAAGGTGGAGCCAGGCTCCACCCCTTCCAGCAGCACAGGTGAATTGCCTTTATCTGTGCTCCCAGGGCTAACTCATTGCTCTCCTCAGGTGTTCAATCAGAGGTTCAGGCCATGATTCAGCAGTTCCCATACAACCTAAAAAAAAAAAATAAAAAATAAAAAAATAAAAAAAAAAAAGGTATATGAATGGAAAGAAATCAAAGCACAGAGGTTGAGAAAGGAAACTTGTCCCCACAGCATTTGGTCAGGGAGTTCTGTACAAATGCACTTGTACATTTATTGACTGGAAGGACAAAGCAGAACCAGGACAGTGGCACAGAGAGAGGATGGGGGAAGAAAAGATTAAAGTATGATAAAGAAATAGGCTGCTCTGTTTCTCTGCACAGAAGGTGAAAACTAAAGGGAGAATGTTAGAGCTAAATCCTCAATTCCGTGTCAGTTATATTACTGGGGTATTCGAGGAGAATTTCTAAGTATCATCTTAAATTTTCAGATTTGAATGTTAGCAGAGTCCTCAGGGAAAAATGACTAAAAAGAAAATACGTAGCTTTCATCTGAAGTGATAGATGTAAATAAAACAGTATTTCTGCAAAACCACTGATATTTGCAAATCATAATAAGATTTTTTTGTTTGTTTTTTTGTTTTGTTTTGTTTTGTTTTGTTTTTCTCAGAACATTCTACTAGGCTGCAAGTGTCCATTTTGAGGTAGATATCATCAAGTAGAGGATGAAAGGGAAAAAGCCTTCTATATATTACTTTATGCCTTTCTGGAAAGGAGCTGCATAAAAAAAAAAGTAACTGGAGTCTCAGAAGAACCTGTATTGTCAGAAAGGAAATAAAATAAAACCTTGGCTTATTGTGATCCCTGGAGAAGAAATGGTTGATCCTTATTAGTCATGGCACCCGATAACATGAATAAAACATGAGCTAAGTTCTTTCAATAAAACCCTTTAGATGGAGTCTGTGATCCATGCAAATCTACTAAAGCGATCAAAATAGAGGGGTTTTCTAATTATCAGCACACTGCAGTTTTCCCATCTTTGAATTAATCCAATGCTAAACACATCAGTATGCTAATAAGCCTACATTTACTGCTCTTCCTTATCTCCATTGTTAAGATTTAAAATCATTTTTGTTCAGTTTGGGGACACCTTTGGCTACTATTTTTGCATTGGTTGATGATTTTACTGACTATTCAGGCCTACTAACTTCTGCTTCTTTTATGTGTTCCATGAGAAAGACAGTGCTAAAAGCAACATAATCACTGACATAATAAAAACTCATAATTGGTGCTTATTGGTGTATATTATGTTTCTCAGTATTGCTTATAATTAAATTGACAATTCTTATGTTAACTTTGCAGTATTTCAATGTAGCCCAGTACCCTGGGCTTCAATGTTCTTCAGTGAACAGAGTAAATAAGAAACTGATGAACCAGTCCTAGGGGATATGAAAGAGAAGGCCAAATACTCTCTCACTCAGGACAAAGAGCACGAGACAGAATAATGATGAGAAAATGTGACTGAAGCCATTTTTCCCCCTTTCTCAGGTGCCTAACAAATAGATTTCTACTAAAATTTATCTTTAAAAGCTACATCTTTTATGTGTAAATCTTATGTTTTAACAGTATGGTAGCTCTAGGAAAAGGAAAGTATCAAGAATATCTATCTACACAATGGCTAGACCAGTGACAAGTGCTGAGGCCAGTTTTATTAAACATCTTTGTCAATGACCTGAAGAAGGGAATATATACTGAAATTGCCAAGGGCGATGGCAATCAACTCCAGAAAGGTAAAAAGATGGTATTTAGGTTCAAGGCAGATGCAAAATTATGCAAAAAAAGTCTAAAGCATATCTCCATATGATGAACTTCAGTTTATAAGGGAAGATATCTTAGAGTCATTCCTTACAGCTCACAATATCTCTGAATAAAATATGGCAGCTGGAAATCCTAAAAAAATGTTGAACAGCTTCAGATGGAGAACTACATATAAGAGAAAGGTCGTAATTTGGATACTGTATAAAACCAAGTGTATGTCTTGAGAACTGTGGACAGCCCTGATCTTCATCTCTCAAGAAAGGTGGAGTGGAGTTAGAAAAAGAGTAGAGAAGGTCAACTGTAAAATTCAAGTCTGTGAAACAGCTGTCTTACACAGAGAAGTTTAAAATGCTGGAGTTCTTCATTTGAGGAGGGGGAGACTGATAAGAGCACTTGTTTGAAGTTTATAAGATCTTCATGGAGAAAAATAAATTGAACAGAGTAAACCTCATAGCAGATCTCAACCTTAAAATCCCCCATACAAGAGTTTTGTACACCAAGGAAGTATCAGGGTGATGAATAACTGAAAATGCCAAAGCTTGCATACTTTCTCTAAATGACATCAACTTTTCTGTAGCAATGTAGGCACAATATCCATTTGGATGTGGCTTGTTCTGCCCTGTTGGGATTATTTTTATGTTTATTAGGTTTGTAACTATGGGACTGTCTATTACACCTCCTCAGGCTTCCCCTAGAAAGCAACAAACTGTTGAAGGAAAAGAAAAAACTCTGCCTGCAGATATTCTGTAAATTTCCACATAACTGCCACATGTTCACATAATTCCTAATATACATAATATGCAGATTAACTGATTGTCATTATCCTTTCATCAGCAGAGGATCAGCACTGTGCTGATAAGAAAGACCATATCTACTATGAAGTTTTGGATTATTTCATCCTTTTCACATCTAGTATTAGAGTACAGAGTGAAGTTTTTTTTTTTTGTTTAGGAAGACAAAAGTTTTCATTTTTTTGCCCATTCTCAGATACAGGCCTATTCTATGAACAATCTGTATGAGATAAATAACCATACTGGTAAAAAATTTTCTGTTAGTGAAGGAAATGTTATAATCATAGAGAGAAACCTACTGTTATCTTTAATTTCATATTTGAAGAACCATTAACTTCTGATGTGACTACCAGAGCTTTTTTTAATGAGGAAATGTTTACTCTGACAATTGCATACAGGCTATTGAGCTGAAACATTTGCACTGAGTTAAACGAACAACAAGAAAATCCTTTATGTGCTTCATAGCCATTAAGCAGCAATGGTACTTACCTAAGGTAGCCTACTGCTGCAAACTGATCTTAAATTTGTTAATATACAATCTTTGTGCCATCACTTCCCCTATCTAAAACAAGATTAAAAAAAAAAAAAAAAAAGTTGACTGCAAAAGTAATGTTTTCTTCCATCACAGTGAAGTTCTGGGAATGTCTAATGATTGTGAACTTAAAGCACTCAGAAGCTTTGTTCAGGTCATTTGGTAGCTTCCCTGGGTTTGAATGTACAGGGAAATGAATATAATTAATTCTGGAAAACTATTATTGCTATTTCTTTTTAGAAAGTTTGGTCTTTCAGCTTCAGAAAGATCTGCAAGTACACTGAGCTAACTTCATCAGAAAAACATTAATGAGAAAGAGATATGGGGCCCAAATGATTTCCAGTATGAAGAGTGTATTAGATCATGTCCTTATTTCCTTGATAAATGTAACACATAAGAAACAAAGAAATCTTCCTGATTCCTGTCTGCTTTATCAGGGTAGACCTAATTGTCCTGTCTCACCTGAACTGAGGCACATACAAAGAAACCCATTAACTGAATTCTGCTACCAGAAAACTCATGTGAAAGGAGAGTACCAACCTCTCTGACCTAAGACTAAGAAAGATGCAGGTGTCTATGAGTTGTCTTGTGATTTATTCCTTTTAGAAAAAAACTTCAGTCCTTATGAGGATAACATTTATTACTATCACTATTGTTTTTACTAAGACATATTATGACAATAAAAAAAGAAATGGAAATTACCATTGACAAAAGAATTGACTGCAAGATTTTTGGACAACTGAAAGGGACGGATGAGAAGTGACAGTCGGTCTGACTGGTAGCACAGGAAAAAATGAAGAGAAGTTTTTTTACTAAACCAAGGGGCTAGTGTCTCTAGGCAAAACAGAACAAATGTCCATGAAAGACAGTGCTTGGAGCAGCTGGCTCCAAATAAAAGAGTGTAAGAAGACATGAGTCTTTCATCTCCTTAGTGTCAGCATATGCTGTGTGCATATGTGTATACACAGGGAAATGGCCACAAGTTGTATCAGAGGTGGTTTAGGTTAGACATGAGGAAGTACTGTTTCTCTCAGAGAGTAGTCAGGCACTGGAATGGCTGCTCAGAGAGGTGGTGGAGTCACCGTCCCTGGCAGTGTTCAAGAGGCGTCTGGATGACGTGCTGCGTGATGTGGTTTAGTGCTTGTGGTGGCAATGGTGATGAGGAGATGGTTGGACTGGATGATCTTATACATCATTTCCAACCTTGTGATTCTATGATTCTATGATTCTATGCTTGCTCCAGAACATTGTTACTTCCTACCTGGACAAAGCATAGAATGGAAAATGTGGCTGACACAGTATTTGCTGCCTTCTCTAGCATAGATATAGGGAAAGTACGTTGTGTGACCATTGTACACAGAGCAGGTAAAGCACTAAAGGTCTGACCGATAAATATAACACCTCTATACCCATCCAGGAACACATTACCAGAGCAAAAACAACTGTAAGGACTTGAGTGAAAGCAGCTAAGTTCTTTATCTCTCAGTTTAAAAACACAAGTTCTATCACAGTGGACCAATGATATTATGGCTCTCTCCTTTACTCATAAAATAAGCTTGCTTTTTTTTGTTTGTTTCTCAGTGTCTCTGCTTGCAAAAGAAAGATATGAATACTGCTACTGCTGTAGTATTACTACTGTATATACAGTATTTTTATGTTCACAAGGCAAGAGCAGGTTTTCACTCCAGCTCCTATGAAGCCAGATGTTCAGCAGCAGAACATGTAAAGATAGACTGAAAATCCCTAGATGCTACACTCCCATTGGTTTCCCTCAGACAAAAGGACAGTAACAATTGTCTTCACTGTCCAAAATAAATAAATAAATACATAAATAAATAAGATAAGTGAATTAAGCA